GATGGAGCAGTGTGAGGGTTGGAGCAGCAGCAGGACGTCTGCAGCTGTGCTGCTGCCTGTAAACACACGCAGCATAAAGACCATCTGCTGCATGCGTGTCAGCGACGTGAGGAAACCGAGGCAACGAAAGCAGGCGAGGAACAGCAACAAACTCAGACGTCGGTCACGTTTCTAAACGATCCGGCTGAAAGCAGCGGACGACTCGAGCGGACAAAGAATGTGGAAGATGAGGCGACCCGCTCGGTTTCCAACCCCGGCTCTGACACAGCGCAGCGACGAGCTGTGGAAACAAACACACACCTTGCGTTTCTTCTTGCGGCGATGAGAGGGGATCCTGTCCGGTTTGGCGTGGGCTCTGCTGAGCTCGCCGTGGGCTCTGCTGAGCTCGCCGTGGGCTCTGCTGAGCTCGCCGTGGGCTCTGCTCTCCGCCGCCCCCATCTCTCAGTAACCACAGACGCCCTCATACAAAGCTGCCACGCTGCTCTCCGTCCGGCGTCCTTCCTCTCCCTCTGTCACAAACTACTACAGAGGAAACTCTCTGCCCTCCCCCTCTGCTCCTCCCACACTCTACCTGTCCACCACAGACCTCCTCCCCCCTCCATCTGTTTCTCCTCCTCCCGTCTGATGGAGGAATGCGAGTTATTTCTGCACCGCCCTCCTCTTTTCATATCTTTAATCTTATCTGCCTTTCTCTCCTGCTCTATCAGTCGTTAACTCACCGGACCGGAGCATCGGCGTTTAAATCACGCCTCTCTTTGTCTTCAGCTTCACATTTTTCCTCCGTATAAACTTTGCGTTACATTTATCTGGGAGTTTCCCGCAGAGCTGGGACATATTTTAAAAACCACGAAGCTCTAAAGAAAGACTAATTAGTCCAGTTTCAGTGGCTATAAAACCTTTTCTGGTTTCTACAGCAGCCGACATGAAACGCACTCTCAGTGCACAAAGACCAAAACACTTACGCTCGGAGGTTTAGCACAGACTGTATAAAAAGATGGCAACGTGAAAATGCCTTAGACCTGCACTGCCAGCAGGGGGCGACTCCTCTGTGCTTTAAGCCTGCGACTGAAGTTTGTAGCCTCAGTCTGACCCGGTGTCATACAGACGCCCGTGTGACGGCCATGACATCTTTTATATACAGTCTGTGTCTTTTATCAGACCCCACAAACCGTCCACACACAGACGGTTCCTCCTGGCGTCACAATAAAAGCCCATCGCACCATGTGACCGAACGAGGATTTTAAAAACTAATATTTTGACATTTTAAAATAAAAACACAATAAAAATCTGTCAAACAGCAGCGACGCAAAAGAAGCTTCTAACAGAGTTAGTTAGACCCCGCCCCCCCGGCTTCAGTCTGGAGTCTAGTTTGTTTACCGTCAGTAACCGTGGATGGCGTGCTTTCACACACACGCTTTTCCAGTGCAGCTCAAACGGCTCCGCCTCCCCCCGCGGCGTGGGGGGGAGCTTGGCGTTAAGTGCTCTGTTTATATTCAGCAGTCACCTTTCAAGTGTGCAGGCAGATAAGATAGTGCCGGCATTCATGCTTCAGATAACAAACACAAATCACACAGCTTCAGGGCTTCAGCTGCTGCATTCCTGCTCCTCCCCCTCCTCCACCCATGACTCCCCTTTCACCAGCACCTCCCAGCAGGCCTCCCATCTAATCAATATCCCAGGCAGACAGGAGCCCGGAGGAGTTCATGCTCCAACACAAAAATCTGACGGGGTTATGTAAGCGCGCTCTCGTTCGTGTGCAGGTAACAGGTTTTATGAGCCGCTCGCTCCGCAGACACTCCAGGCCAACAACAGCTTCAGCTTGAAACTTTAGGACAGCTGTGCTTCATCAGGCCGAGCTCTCGGAGCAGTGCAACAGTACAGTCAAGTTAGAAAATATACAGGCGAGGAAAACAAGCAGAGCTACGAGCGCCTCTCGACCCCCCGGGTGTCTAATTAACGGCATTAGTGCTCAGCCCCCGAACACAACACGGCCGCACAGAGAACAACAAAGGTTCAACACAAAGAGTCACGACAGCGAGCAGAGACATGAAGGCCTCTGTAGGCTGCGCTCGGCCGTCTGCAAACACACAGTGTTTACTGAACACACCGTCCACATCCTGGACTCTGACGGACGCATCCTGGAGCTGGCCTGAGCCAATCAGCAGCCTTCATGTATGAGTTGTCTAGTTTTAATGTTTTATTTGGGAACAGAATGGTGTGTATGTGCAAGTTTGGTGATGGAGTTTTTATTATGAATGAATGATGAATTATTATGAATTATTATGTCTATTTTTTGTGTTTAAGGACAACAGATGGAAATTAGCCTTCGGCTATAATCTGGCATGTTTACATTCATGTCATTTTATGTTCATTAACATGCACCGTCCTAAATAAAGAAATAAAATAAATCCTCGCAGACACTCACAGAATCCTTCAGGGTGAAGACTTTGTAACACGAACACAGACATTTGCACCGTTTATGTAAAAGTTTCACGTTTTCCTCAATTCGTGCATCAGCGCCCACCAACATCAACGCGTACCAGGAAGTAATGGTTAAAAGGCGTGGGCGTGGCTGCTGTGTGTGGATGACAGGACAGCTGAAACGGGACGACGGCTCATTATTTTACTACTGAACGGAAACAGGAATAAATGATCGTTTCTCCTGTTTCGATTTTTAAGGTGCTGTGAAGCCACGTTGGACAGCAACGTCACCTGTGAGCGCCGAGCGGCAGGAGACGAGGCTCGCCGAGACTCAGAGGCAACACTGAAATGTTTAATAACTGCCTCCAGCGCGTCTGCGTTCAGGGGTCAGTGACATCACTGCTGCACGCATCTCAAACTGGAATCATTCAGTCATGATTATATTTTTATTGGCTGACACGCCGACTCCGAGTCCTCTGAGGGGGTTTGCATGCTTGGACGTGCGCGGTGTGATCGGGACCGAAGGAAGTTCAGCATCCACGCCATACCTCAGCCTGCCAGAGGAGGCAAGCACTGCACTTACAACAGGCGCACACACACACACACACACACACACACACGAGCAGGATCTTTCCATTGCATCATGTGCTGTTCTTAATGACAGCCGGGCGTGGCGAGTCTCTCCCTGCTGCCGCCTTCTAAAAACAGCCATTGCTCCGCCCCCTTCTCCTTCTCGGCGAGTATCTCCAGCAGCACCTTAAATATCAGCAGGGCGACGTCACCGCTCGCTGCTGAGTGACCTGTAATTACAGGCTGTGACGCCCTGCTCTGCTCTGCCCGAGGCGAGGGACGGGATGGGCCGTTCACCTCGTGAAGCCACGCTGCGCTCACATGTGCAAACACATCCACGCAGCAGGACCCGCCCCCATCACACGAGGCGCTAAAGCCCCCTCCTGACCTGAAACACGCCAACGAGTCCGTTACCTGTGTGACACCTGCATGCAAATATTCCTGTGGTGCCTTTGAAGAGCTCGAAGAGAATCTGACGCCTCATAACAAAATCACAGCCTCGCTTCAGCTGTGCTGCAGTTAACAAATCAAAGAGTGCGCACAGTTAAAAGACGCCATCAGCTCTTCAGACTTTCACAAACGACATCACCACCAGTAACATGTGACAGGAAACAAGTCCTGTCCTTCTAAAGCCCCCTTTGTTCTGAGTGCATCCAGAAGCCTGACGAGGGGCAGCGCTCTCCAACTGTGAGCATGCAGTGTCGTAAAGAAACAACCGCAGCAGTTCCTGCAGCGTCCAGCAGAGGCAGCAGTGAGTCAGTCTGTGAGGACCACGTCGCCCTCTGCTACGCTGTGCGGGCGATAAACTGCTTCATAACTGATGCATGTGGGTTTGTTGAGGTCTAAACCGACCAGCAGGTGGCGTCACTGCTGTGTAAATGCAGGTGTGACTGTACCTCCGTGAAGAGATGCTGGATGACTGTAGCCAGAGCCTCCACTCTTTTGTTCCCTTGCACGAGCAGCTTCCTCAGCTGAGCGATGGCCTGGTTCTTCTTCTCTGCCTGCTCTTTGCTCTGGTTCTGTTTGATGGCGTTCGTCCCGTCCGACGCCACCGCGCCTCCATGGCTGCCAGCTCTGGACGCGCCCTGAAGGCGAGACCCGGCTCTGGGGCCGGATCGTGGCCCGGTTCTCGCTTTCAAACCGAGAGTCGAGGGTCCGGCGGTTCCTGACGTGGCAGTATTGGTGGCGTTAGTGGCAGGCACTGGAGGAACTGGTGCCACTGGTGCGTTAGCATTCACATCATCTGGTATCTACACAAACGGGAGGAAAACAGTGAGATTACAAACACGCTAACAACACGCTAACAACACGCTCACTGGTTCTAGAGTCAAACGCAGCTCATCGTGCGAGAGGACGAGTCGTCGTCTCAGCTGCTGAAGCGTCAAACAGAAGCAACCCTGACGCCGCTGCTCGTGTCACACGTACCAGGTCGGGCGGAGGCAGCTGCAGGTTCTGGTTGTTTCCTCCGGTGGATGCTGCCGTCTGCGAGCTGCTGCCGGTGTGCGATGGCGTTTTCCCCGGCTTGTTGTTTTTATCCACTGCAAGAGAGCGACGACCTCTTAGTGTGCGGGCGGCGGGTGCGACATTCAGCATGGTGTCCACACACGGACGCACAAACACTGCTCGCACTCAAGTTACACACACAGCAGGCTGACGACAATCACACACACAGAAACACACACGCCCTGCTGCTGAAACCAATGCATCATGGGAGAGTGTGTGTGTGTGTGTGTGTGTGTGTGTGTGTGTGGATGCGCATTAAGGGCTGCATTACGAGACCAAAGCAATTAGAGCGAGCGATCGACACTCGTCTGCTCTCAGCGCGCTCGCTCTCCTTCCCTCTCTGACTGCAGATGAAGCTTCTGTGCGAGATGCCCGACGCCTCGCCACTATTCAGTGAGAGCGATCAGCCGACAGGTGTTTTCTGTAGCGACTCATCTGAACATCTGGATCTCTCACACGTCAAACTTTGAAAGCCCGTCAGGTCTGCGCTGACAGGCGCTGACAGCACTTCCTTAAAGATGCTGCCCTCTGGTGGCAGCCTCTGAGCAGGGCATCGCTGAAGTCAACTGGACCGTCACCAGAACAGATCCGCCGTTCAATCTCGGACTCCGGTCTCTCGGCGAGTCGTTTCAGCTCCGCCTCATAGCGGAGGCGAGCACACCTCCCACGTGACAAACACAGCTCCTGTTTTTCAGCGTTGGCGGAGCAGAAGGTTTAATCGCTGTGTGCAGGCACATCTGCTTCACTGACACACAGATGTTTATGCTACAGGTAACCTCAGGTGGAACTGTGCCACCTCCACAAACCAGCGCCTGCCGACCAATCACGACCTCGATCTAACGGCGAGGTCACAGAGTCAGAGGGTTCACATAAGAAAGGCCGTCTGAATCTTTGCCTTTCAATAAAAATAAAAATATATAAATTATTAAGAGAGACTTGATTTTTTTTCTCAGAGCTGTAAGAACTTTGTAGCCTGGTTTTACTTTATTAATCATTTCAGAGTAATGCTGTTGCTTTAGAGTGAAGCTAGTCGGCTGGAAATGGCCTGTAAATCACAGGAATATGACCAAACGAGGATGAACTCAAACTGTACAAAGTCCCCGAAGGGCGCACACACACACGCACGCACGCACGCACACACACACACACACACACACACACACACGCACGCACACGCACACACACAGTGTGTTTAGCCTCTCCTTACTTTAAACAGTGCAGTATATAACCAAGTTTTTTCTATAGCAACTGCTCGATACTGCAGCGTAACAGGAGAAAAGTCCTGAGACGCTGATGCATGCATCCTGCAGACATTCCTGAGGACTTTGCTGTTTCATGTGGCTCGTGTGTGGTGACCTGTGCGAGTGCTGCGGTGAGGGGTTTGTACCTGGAGTGTGCCGGGCAGGCATGCAGAGCCGCTGAGCCCAGACTGAGAGAGAAACCACACGGTTAGCATGCACATCACAGACACCGAGCACAGCGACGAGCCCTGCTGAGTCACGAGAATCCGCTGCGAACACGCAGCGAACAAATGCACTTTCTGCACCCCGAATTCAATTTGAGTGTCTGAAACGCTGCGACGCTGTAAACTGGAGAAGCTCACAGTCGAGCGTCACGTCAGCCTCATTATCTGTGAGTCTCGTGAGCCCTCAGCAGGGCGGTCTGTTTATGAAGAACAGTCAGAGAAGCAGCGCAGGGATGAAGCTCAGGAGCAGGAATAAAAGGGATGTGTGGGAGGAGCGGAGGCTTCGGGCCGAGCTGTGAAAATCCACCAACAGTCGTCGTCACTCTGAAGTAATCAGAGTACAGCGCTGACGGTCAAAGTTCCTGCATGTGCCCTCTGCAGAGCCCAAAGTCTAATTATCAGCAGGTCACAGAGCAGATCTGGTCCATCTTTAATGAGCCGCCTCAACTGAGCGTGTGCGGGACGACGAAGGATACCAACTGCAACCATCCTTATTCCGATGTAATCAGATTACTCTGAGGCAAAAACACCAGGTGCTGAGAGGTTGAACTCTGAATGAAACCAGCTTCCCTTCAAAGTCAACACATGATCCAACAAGTGCACGCACACCTGTTACCATGGAAACAACCGTGCAGAGCGTGTCACGAGGTGCACGTGTCCACCATCTGATATATTTACATCCAAATTAGACCCCCTGGTTTCCTAGCAACAACTTTCATATTTGTCCCACTCCATCGCCCCGAGGATGTAAAAGCAGGCTGATGACATCAACACACACACACACACACACACACACACACGTGTTAAATGTTCGAATGTAAAAACGTGCGTTATGAATAAACTCAAACTGAACGATCATCGCTGCTCACACTGCTGCACGCTGGTCAACGTCAGCACCACAGAGGCTGCTGGACATTCAGGACATCACGACTCTTCCTCCTGTTCAGAGAGGAGGAGGAGTCGTGCACTGAGACAGGACCACAGCAGCTCTTTACTCTCAGCGTTTTCCTCAGGCTCTGTAATGAACGTGGCACAAAGCTCGATGCCTTTGCTTGTTATTCCCGCTCATTCGGAAGGTCAGCTCAGTCCTGCAGCTCTGTGCGGCTCCACAGAGCTGAGGAGGAGGAGGAGGAAGAGACTGTCAAAGCACCTCTTCATCACACACTCCCACCCTCTGGTTACCCAGAGGAGCAGAGTCTGCCAGAAATACATCAAATGCTGCAGGAGGCCCTCTCAGCCACAGACAGGACCAAGCTGCTCAAACACGTCTCAGCAACAATCATTTATTATTAATGTATTTCAGGTTTCATCGTTTTTCATCTCCTAACAGAAACACAAAAATTAACGTTTCCAATCAAACTGCACGACTGAGTCCAAGCAGACTCTTCATCGGCCACTTGTGTGCCGCGGCCTGAAACGAGCCTGACAACATCCTGTCACGTCCTCGTCTGCCGCCACATCTGGGAAACCAGCGGCCTCCGCATCGGATTAAGGCTCGCACGAGCGGCCGGCCTCAGCTGAACCGCTGTGCGGCGTACACGGGCGCGCGCTCGCTGACTAAAGCCTGCTCTGACCTACATTTTGGGGCAGAGCAGCAGGGAAGTGGGTCTGTGGAGCTCAGACTGAAAACACGCTGCCGCCAAACACGTGCCGCCGAGCTCAGATGGATGGTCAGAGAGGCGGAGCCCAATATTTACAGAAGGACATGAACGTGGGCCAAACCGCACGATCCACATTAATGCCAACAATCAGAGACGATGAAGGGATTAACGACCCGTCGAGCCAAAGCACACAGCACAGACGAGTACGCAGAGTAAGCCTGACGAGACTCTCAGGAACCCACGACAAGCCGCTGCAGTCAAACCTCAGAAACGTGCGCCAGCTTCTTCACACCGAGCAAAAACAACCAACCAGGGCTCACCTCTCCTGAGCCTGAGTGGACCGGCCCACAGGTGATGTGAAATAATCACATCGTAACATAAAAACTGCTCCTTCACACGAAACATCTCCGACGAGCTAGCTGCTCTCAAACCGCTGATGATGGGCTCTGATATTTAGAACTTTGCTGCTTTGAGCGTGGTTTAAACACACCCACGGTAACCACGGTAACCCCCCATAAAAACAAGCCTATTGTCAGACTTAAACTAAATGTGCCTGAATTCTACGCAGGACCGCAGAAACACTGCTGGACTACAGACTGTATGCAGGAGATGGACCCAAACCCTGCTTCCTCACCACCAGGGGGCGCCACAGGTCCCACCGTTACTCATCCAATCCCAAAGAGGATCCGTGTCTCCACCTAGAATTAAACCCGCGACCTTTCACTTTCTACAAAGGGACGTGAAAACTACGACAGAGCACTAACTCATCAGGTCAACTGAGGTCACCGAGCAAAGAAGCTGGGAACTGTTCCCAAACCACAGGAGTCGCCCCCTGCTGAACACGAAAAACAACCTCTTTGGTTCAATATAAAATATCCACATCTGGAGGTGGAAGCTGTGTATTTGGGACATTACTGCAGCACCACCACTCTCACCTCCACCCAGCTAACAGACGCTCAGTACTGAGTTCTCCACCGATTCCACCGAACACTGTGCACCCGCACCACAGCCTGCACATCTGCACTTGCATTTTTAGGGCTAACAGCTCATCCAACAAAGTCTTCCTGGTGTTTTTTGACTTTGTGCATGTTTAAAGTTTGTGCATGTGACGCATCAGAGGCTGAAGCAGCTTCACTGTCGCGTTCACGTATTCAGCTCGACTTCTCTCGTGGTCAGTCGAGGTACAGAGCTGAACGACACCGAGCGCTGCTAGCATGAATGCTGACGGTTATTCGCGGCATCATCATCAGGGATTTTTGCTTTTATGCAGCACGGACTTGAAAAGCTCCCCTGCTGCACGGACACACAGACCCTGGCAGCGTGCAGCTCCTCTTCAGAAAAGGAGGCACATTAAGAGCGAGCGCAGGCTCTGCTGCAGCCTGCACAAACACAGTGCAGCCTTTTAATGGCTGAATAAGTAAAAGCCAGATGCGTCCTGGGCTATTTCGGGTTTGTGTGTGAATCACGTGGCCGTGCCCCGTCAGGCGTGGGTATCGGGGCTAAAAGGAGCCACGGCTATTCATCACGCCATGCCGCAACGCTGGAACTGAAAGCCCCGCACGCACAGCCGTGTGCGACTGCAGCTGCAAGCCGAGCTGAAAGCCCCCACAGGAGGAGACACGGAGGCAACAATGGCTGCCGACGCCGTGCAGGAACACAGGAGGGGCTGAGGAGGGAGGAGGGGGTGAAGTGGCCTTTGAGGCTGATCTGCCATCACACGAGTAAAGATTAGAGCTTCACACAAAGACAGGAGAGGAGGAGGAGGAGGGGGGTGACAATGAGTTTTATTTTGAAAGGCAAACAGTTACAGAGATGGGGCTTTTATTTTGGGTGGCTGCAGGATTAAAGCAGCTCATTAGCTCCTCTGTTTGGGTGTGGTGGCTCCAGCCCCACCCTGCCATGTGCATCTATGGTGGATGAAGGAAGGTGTGTGGAGCACATGGAGGGATGGAAGCAGCTAACGGGGTGAAGCTGCTGATGGAGGATGAACGGGTGGATGTGGGGAGGACACGGGGGACGGAGACTGATCCAGACCTGCGTGGAAGACCACGGTGTTCTTCCTGCATCCCGACAGCAGCTGGAGGTTTCGGAAAAGTCCTTTAGCCGTCAGCTTCACGTGGAAGTTGGACAGCGACAGTCTGGGAGACCACAACATGGTTCGGTGCGAGGCGCCTCCGTCGGACTCGGTCCTTTTCTGCACTTTGAGTTCTTCTCCTCGTCTCAACGTGTCCTGAGCGGCAGGTCACACTGACCCACTTCTTCTTTAGCGGACGGGAGGAAATCCTCCTTTTCTTTAAATTTCAAAAACAAAAAATCCTCCAAAAACAGAATCTGCTTACTGCTGCTGGGATTTGTAGCCTGCATCTGCGTGAAAGCCACGAGGAAAAACAAGACGCCGCATTTTAAAATCAGATCCTGCGCTCGGTCCAGGGACGAGGACGCACGCTAAGCCGCCATCCGGCCTTCATCAAAGCCACAGAGCCGCCGCCGCGACACGAACACATGAAATAAAAGGAGCGAAGCAGAGCGGCTCCTGCACCGCAGCCAGCACGGGAAGAAAATGGCGCCAAAAATAGCAGCGAGCTTCACCGTCGCCGAGGTCACGGCGAATCAACCACGGATGGAGAGAGAGAGAGAAACGGGCGAGATACTCGTGCATGTGTGTGAGAGAGAGAGAGAGCGTATCCTGGTGACGATTACTCCTCAGCTGCTGAGCACACGGCGATGCCCCCCCATCACCACAGAGGCGTGTCACCAGAATGTACACACAAACAAAGACAAGCATCCACACACACACACACACACACAGGGGGGGAGGGATGCTGCGGGAGGAGGAGGGGAGGAGTCAGCGGGTCTGAATAATCCCTCCTCCCTCCTCCCTCATGACTCCTCTGGTCTCTGTCGTGCCACACATGAACCTCGTCGAGGTCAGACGTGATGACAGAAGAAACACTGTGGAGACCCCCCACACACACACACACACGTATTTATATCCTTGTGGGGACATCTCATTACCCGAACCATAACTGTAACCATGACAATAAACCACAGTTTGTGTCTGAAAAATGCCTTCAATGCTGTGGGGACCAGGATTTTGGTCCCCACAAAGATGTTAATACCCACACACACACACACACACACACACACACACACACACACACACACACACGCCATATTGGCGCCTTTCAGACACTTTGTGAAAGGCGTCTTTGTTTTAGCCAAATCTGTCTGAGCGTTTCCTAAACGACCGAAAGAAGCTGAAGATGTGAAGAACGTGACGGAGAACTTGAACATGAGGAACAAAGAGGACACGACACACTTCTGAATGTCAACAGCTGAATCATCAGACCGCCGTTTGTCCTTTGCTCCTGTGAGCGCGCTCAGAACCTGCAGCTGGGTTAAACTGGGCTGATGCTCACGCCTGACTCAGGTTAGTGAACACAGAGGAAGCCGGCTCAGAGGAAACTCAGGTCCCCACAAAAACCACCGACGGCGAAAACTAAAACCAAGCAGCCATGTTCCCCGAGAGCCTCTGTGCTCACTATTGAATCCACTTTTATTTAGTTTGCATCCAAGTGTGGACGCCGCCATCAGCTGACAGACAGGCTGAGCTTATTTAACAGATCCTGACACACAGCTGTGAACTTTCTCCAACATCTGGTTTACCTCCACTCACACAGATTACAGGACGTCCACCTCCTAAAACTCACCTGTGCACATTTTCATTCACAGGCCTGTTTGACAGATTTCATCTTTGTGCAGAGTGAGTGCGCACAACATGTGGCTGGTTGACAAACTGCAAACCAGCCATAAAACCTTACAGCCCCGAAACATCAGTGCTCCTCTAACGGCACGAGACAGACCAGCGCCAGTAACACCAGAGCTGTGTGTGTGTGTGTGTGTGTGTGTGTGTGTGTGTGTGTGTGTGTGTGTCAGAATCAATGTCCACATCCACTGGAGACAACGAGCAGAAAGCCACTGAGAGCTTTAAAGGCCCACGCTGCTAACCGCTGTCGCCTGAGGACGGCTGTGGCGAGCGTCAATGAGAGAGGTTTGAATCAAATGCGCGTGTGTGTGTGTGTGTGTGTGTGTGTGTGTGTGTCTGTGTGTGTGTGTCTGTGTGTGTGTGTCTGTGTGTGTGTGGGGTAATCAAGTCATCATGGGGCTGATAGTACGTCTATGAGTAAGCGGCGCCCCACAGGCCCCAGAGAGACTTCCAGGCCGGCCACAGAGGGAGGCAGCCAGGCGCCCGGGCCCAGACGAGAGCGCCACATGCAGGGGGAGGAGAGCAGCTGAGTCACGGCCGATGGTTTAAGACATGATTCTGACTGCGTGATGCTAAACGTGAAACGTCGGCCTGCCGGAGCTCAACAAACATCAACTCACAGAGCGAGCGCACGGGTTTGAGCTGGGAGGCGTGTCAGAGTTCATGCAGTGATGTCAGACCGCCGCCTCCTGCACCATCAGTCCAAACCCGGCGACGCGCATCATTATTCGCTCGTGTGACTGATGCAAACCTGCGACTCGCTTCAGCTGCAGGAATGAAAAAGCAGATGTTGTGCAGCAAACATCTGCAGTCATGATCACACTGATGCAACAGACTGTATAAAATCGATGGCAGCACTGATCAGACTCAGCCAGGCTGTGTGTGATGGCGTGCTCTCAGCTGCCCTCACAGCTTTACTAACCAGCACTACTCATGCTAAGCACCCTTAGAGCCGACTCGCTGTGTTCCACACCCCAGCAGCCGCTCGCACACAAACACAGGAAGTCAGATGGCCTCTCGTACCTGCGCCGTTCAGCCGGCTGACCCTCGCCGAGCCGCTGCGCTGTAACGGGGACTGCACCGCCTGCTTCGCGAGCCCCTGACCGGCGGCGGGGCTCGACTTTGTGGGCGCCGTCTTTGCTGCGTTCTGGTTGGTGATCGTCGGAGGCTTCAGACCTGCGGAGACGACACAGGAGTCAAAACCCATTTCCTGTTCCTGCGGAGGCGTTTCAATCGCCCACAGCTGTGAAAACGAGCAAACGGGCTCGAGGTTTCCGCTCTGAGCAGCGTGCAGAGCGTCTGACACAGATTCTGACCAGCAAACGGTGTAACTGCCGCCGCCGCGTCCCTCCTGTTGCCTCCGTAATAGGATCACGCGTTTGACCGCGACTGTGACCCAGACAGGACACAAACATCTGTGCAGTTTCCCGCAGGGCGAAGGAAACGCACTGAGCTGCACTTTATACAAAGAGGCCAAAACATTAAACACAGCGTCATTCGCCACTCACAGGCGGAGCAGCGTGGAGGCGACACGCTTTCATGCGCTTCTCCAACAGTTAACACGCCAGTGCGACTTTGTGCTCTTATAGTTTATGTTTGTGCTGCAGTCATGTGACCCCGCAGCTCCGAGACTGTGCCGACGGACGAGACAGAAACCGACTGAAGCTCGGCGATCGCACATCCGAGTTACAAACATTCGGATTAGATTTAGTCTGAAGGTTAAAAGGCTGATCTGGGCTCAGGCGGTGCCTCACCTGTGCTGGAGGTCCTGGCCTGCAGAGACACAGCTCTGCTCCTCAGGGCGGGAGGTTTTGGAGCAGCAGTGCTGGGACCGTTTGTAACAGCGTCACTGGGAGTACTGGTGCTGCTGCTGGAGACGGAGGGCTTTGCTGCACTCTGGCTGCCCACAGGAAGTGTGCTTCTGCTGGGCGGCTCGTCTGGTACGGCCCCTGCTGGAGCTGCTGGAGCTGCTGACGGGAGAAGATGCAGGAGTTTTTATTCATGTGCTGATTTAAATACTGGATGAGTGACAGCAGCTCCCCCCATTCACACAGACAACAGATATGGGGTCATCCTGGGGTCACCCAGGAGAGGTAAGAGCATGTGAGGCGTCTGAGTGATGCTGAGTTAAAGCTGACAGTTTCTCAGTTGTTGCCGGTGATCTTCGGTTAACCTGCTACAGAAAGAAACTGAAACATGAAGCCACACCTGCAGTTCCTCTGACGGCCAGCAGAGGCAGCAGTGAGTTAGTCCTCAGACTGCCACGTTAAAACTTTACAGCAGAAATAAACATGTTTACAGCCTGACGCACAAACTGTCTGGTCTCCATTGATAATTCCCCCCTCGTGACACCTGCATGGGGGGGACGATTAGGGGCGTGCCGTGTTGCACGCAGAGCACCGCGGCGATGCTCTGCAGCAGGTTTCAGCACAGAGGAAACGTGCAGGTTTTCTCTGGGTTGAGGAAAAAGATGATTTTGTTCTTTCTCCTTTAGAATTAAAAACTGACTTGGACCTGCAGAAAAACAGGAGCGTGTCACCAGGACAGCGAAGCAAACAACACGTTTCCAGTTTCAGTGGATCTACTCAAAAAGGGAAAGACCTCATCAACGCAGCGTGAAGCTTCACGTGTCCGAATGTGTCCTGAAGCAGAGCTGAGCCGGACTGTGTGATGCTGTAACTGTGTGGAGGTGGATCAACACCAACGCTCCTCTCTGATAAAACTAAATATCACCATGGTAACAATAAGTGACCTCCATGTTCCCCTGCAGGAGGACGGGCCTGTGCAGGCGGCTATCACATTCAGACTTAAAGACACGAGTCCAGCTGAAAGCATGATTCACGTCCTGCCGCCTGTCACATGGGTCCGTTGTTTCTGGCCAACTTTGCACAAATGACTGCGTCACAGTGAAACGTGCAGCTTTCCAAACAGAAACACAGGACGCCGGCGCCGCTGCCAAACGAAGAGGGAAACCGAGCACATCTGGAAAACCTCTGTATCCACGGATGACTACAGCTGTGACCAGTAACGGTCCGAACGAGGAGATCGCTGCACGTGCTGATGTCTGTTTGCTACGAGCGCTGCCGACCAAAGGCTAAACAGGAAGTTAAACAACACACGAGCGAGGCCGAACGTGCAGCTGCTCAGGACAGAGCGAGGAATCATTTCCTTCAGACCGACTGACCACACCTGTCCTCACATTCAGCATCTACATTCACCTGGTTTCTTCTTTTTGATGCACAGAGGAGGAAGCTGAAGCTGGAGACGACTGAGTCCTGATGTGAGCCGAGCTGCTGAAGGACGACCAACATCAGGACGCTCAGCTCCTAACCTGAGAAAACAAACGGCAGCCTGAAAGCTGCAGAGGAGACGACACGGATCATCTGTGAGCTCCGACCCGACCAGATGTGCTCCCTGACCTTCAGAGGAGCACAGGATATGCTGCAAGCACGAGCGTGTGTGTGTGTGTGTGTGTGTGTGTGTGTGTGTGTGT